AAATAAGACAAGACATGATAGAGCAGGATACAAGGAGAGAGATACATAATACAGGTAAAATTAACGAGCAGGATATGAAGGAGGTAGGGGCAGGATGACAAGAGACACTGCAAAGTTCGAGTTAGGATACAACCAGGTACATATTGACAATACGGTGTAATTAACAGTACCCTTCGTGACCTACAGTGACCTCTGATGACCTACAGTGCCTCATGGTGACCTACAGTGACCCCTAATGACCTACAATGCCCCCTGGTGACCTACAGTGCCTCATGGTGACCTACAGTGACCCCTAATGACCTACAATGCCCCCTGGTGACCTACAATGCCCCCTGGTGACCTACAGTTGACCCCTGGTGACCTACAATGCCCCTTGATGACCTAAAGTTGACCCCTAGTGATCTACAATGCCCCCTGGTGACCTACAGTGCCCCTTGATGACCTAAAGTTGACACCTGGTAACCTACAATGCCCCTTGATGACGTAAAGTTGACCCCTAGTGACCTACAATGCCCCCTGGTGACCTACAGTTGACCTCTTACACCTAAAAATTGTATTATCTAACGGACCTCGATATTGCGAACTTTTCTCTCCACAAAGTCCGTTAAATAGAGGTTACAGTGTCGCCCCCCCCCCTCAGTGTCCGTTGTCCAGTACTTTTCTGTTATCTTTTGTTTCTTTTTTTTTGCGTTTATTTGTTTGTGTTTGTTTACATAACCGAGAGATAGAAGACAAGGAGAAGCTTTTAGCAATTTAATGATGGAGAGAAAACACCATCATTGTCGTCCTCCACCACTCTCTCTCTCTCCAACACTCACTCTCTCAACCTCTCTCTCAACATTAAGACACACACACACACACACACACACACACACACAGGCTACTCAACAAAGATCAACACAACATCGAGAGAGATGTCAACTTGAGGACTTGTCGACAGCAAAGTTTTTGAGAGGGATTAACGTTGTTCTTTTTTTGTGTTCGTTTGTTTCATCCTTATGGTGTTGTGGGTGAGAAACAAGAATCTCACGAATTTACTCTTTTATGGTGTTGATTGTCTGTCTGGTGTTGATTATTTGCGTATCTGGTGATTGTTTGTCTGTCTGGTGTTGATTATTTGCGTATCTGGTGATTGTTTGTCTGTCTGGTGTTGATTATTTGCGTATCTGGTGATTGTTTGTCTGTCTGGTGTTGATTATTTGCGTATCTGGTGATTGTTTGTCTGTCTGGTGTTGATTATTTGCGTATCTGGTGATTGTTTGTCTGTCTGGTGTTGATTATTTGCGTATCTGGTGATTGTTTGTCTGTCTGGTGTTGATTATTTGCGTATATGATTGTTTGTCTGTCTGGTGTTGATTGTTGCGTATGGTGATTGTTTGTCTGTCTGGTGTTGATTATTTGCGTATCTGGTGATTGTTTGTCTGTCTGGTGTTGATTATTGCGTATCTGGTGATTGTTTGTCTGTCTGGTGTTGATTATTTGCGTATCTGGTGATTGTTTGTCTGTCTGGTGTTGATTATTTGCGTATATGGTGATTGTTTGTCTGTCTGGTGTTGATTATTTGCGTATGTGGTGATTGTTTGTCTGTCTGGGTTTTGATTTGCGTATCTGGTGATTGTTTGTCTGTCTGGTGTTGATTATTTGCGTATCTGGTGATTGTTTGTCTTGTCTGGTGTTGATTAGTTGCGTATATGGTGATTGTTTGTCTGTCTGGTGTTGATTATTTGCGTATGTTGATTGTTTGTCTGTGGTGTTGATTATTTGCGTATCTGTTGATTGTTTGTCTGTCTGGTGTTGATTATTTGCGTATCTGGTGTTTGTCTGTCTGGTGTTGATTATTTGCGTATCTTGTTGTTTGTCTGTCTGGTGTTGATTATTTGCGTATCTGGTGATTGTTGTCTGTCTGGTGTTGATTATTTGCGTATCTGGTGATTGTTTGTCTGTCTGGTGTTGATTATTTGCGTATCTGGTGATTGTTTGTCTGTCTGGTGTTGATTATTTGCGTACCTGTTGATTGTTTGTCGTCTACCTGATCCAATTTCACACACCTTCGTTCATCACCTTTTCTTTTTATTGAGGAATTTATAATTTACTTGAGCATTTTCTTACACCTTGGATAGATGAACCACACACCAACATTCATGAGAGATGACAGATGACACGCACAGAGTAATCTTATAGCCTGGATTTAATAGGTTAATATCGAAGGCATTTGATGGCATAATGTGTCATGTCATTGGATTTGGCGCCCAGCCGGAAACGGGTAATTCGGATAAGTGAAAGATACGTAGGTATGAGAAGGAGGAGAAGTGTAGGGGAGATACCGAGAGAAAACCAACGATTACGGTTGAAGAGATTTGAGCAAGATGGAGAGAACTAGATTCACACACACACACACACACACACACACACACACACACACACACACACACACACACACACACACACACACACGTCACTAACTACAGTAGACCATACGAAAGATACTAATACGATACTTGATAAAGAGAAGAGATGAGAAACAAGGAATAACAAACTTGCCTTGTGAATGATCCGTAATATGTGTCGAAAATGATAAAGGAGACAAGATGATGGATAAATTGAGAAGAAGAAAAGTAACTGCAAAGACGAGAAACATTTCACGGTAGAGCTGATAAATTAAAAGTCCCTCAAATATGTGATTAATGCACAAGCAGTTCGAGAGAGGAGATGAGACGATATGTTATTGACTTGAGAAGACATCTACGTATATACACCCCAATAAAGGCGGCGCCCTTCCAACATAGTGTCCTGACTCGAGATGCCGCCCTGATCAACAGCCTCCATCAGCTCCTGCACACATCATCACACTAAGCCTCTCATTTCAGACAGACAGTAAGCCTTACAGTAAACAAAGTCAACAAAACATATACCACCGGGATTCAAACACGCATCATTAAGCTACTTAATGATGCTACTCAGGGTTAAAGCTTAGGTTAGGCCGAAGCGGCGCAGCTTATTAATTTCTGGACAATGCTTGGGTTGTTATATGCGGTTTTTGTATGCTACAACAATATGCTAAACCACATTAATGTATGATCAGAGATGATGAGTTTTCTCCACGTAAGTGAGATTTGGCGAACATGAAGTAAATTCGGTATTGACAGAAATGTGGCTGGCCAGACTATTGGCTCTGTCTCAGAATCCGAGCAGCCACGCCACCCCCACAACACTTGGCCCACACCACACTCCATAAAGCACAGCTTTATACGCTTTTATTCTAGCGTATCTTATACTTTGCTTGACGATTTCATAACAATGAAATAAAGTGGCGGATATATACTGTGTAACCAACTGTCTCAGCCTTACATTGTCCACTGCAGGACAGGTGTTATACCTTCCACGTTAAACGAATGAAAAAGTGTCCATACTACATCAATTAATCTACGGGAGTATTATGTAGACGAAGAAACATGTAAAGAATCAACGTTGCAGAACCAAGTAATGAGTAAAATCATATCCAAGTGCTTTAACATATTCTGGTCCCAGGCTGTTGTGTGCACCTCGCCTCTCACCGAGTAACTCAAGAGGCTTCGGATTCACGAGTCGATACTCTCGGAGTTCACACCTCACGGAGAAGGTGGATTGAGAACGTTGAGTGCACGTGTGTCCTGCCAGGTATTACAATACACACTACAATGACCTCTTTAACTATGCATTTAAAATCACGTGTAGAAAGTGGATATATGTTGGTACCTTTGAAAATTTATTACAATATCTAATTATGACTTTTTCTCCTAAAACTGATTTATAAAACATGTAATACATGTTGTTGGCAATATCTTGAGTGTTGGCGGCCGCGTCGGCTGTGTTGCATGTTATTGGAATAGTCAGTGAGGCTGACCCCTGCCAATATATTTCGTTGCATTGACATTCCGTGACACTGATAAACGACACGCGCAAAAAATTCAGCCCAAATTGGAGCACTGCGAAGCTCGGAGTTAAAAGTATGTGTAATTAAAATGTTAACTTCCATGGATTATATATATATATATATATATATATATATATATATATATATATATATATATATATATATATATATATATATATATATATATATATATATATATATATATATATATATATATTTCATGTAGATCCACAATGAAAACGTGGATAAGATAAATCTTGATAAAATCACACGGACAATGGAAACAACGGAGCACCTTAGCTGTCTTTATTCAAGACATCTAGCAACTGGATTACATGGACAGAGAGAGGCTTAAATATACAGGGTGACCTTAAAAACATGAGGTCAGGTCATAATGATGTCATCCACTAATCTCACACCAACACACACGTGTGTGTGTGATGTCCTGCCTCTGGTTGCTTGTATTTAAGAAATCCTTCGCCTTACAGAAGACAATAAGGATCATTACCATGGACTATGAGTACCGTATATTATTTTCTCAATAAATATAACACTAAAGAGATAGTGAACTATGGGTAGTAATCACCGAAGACTTAATGACGGAAGGTCCTAACAAGATGTACTGTACAGTATTTCACCCTTGATATAATATTAACGTCCCCAGCAGCAGGTAGTGAACATGTCGCCGTCCCTCAAGGCGTGTCTCAAGGCTCAAGTTTGTTGCAGTAAAGTTCCTCAAAAAATTATGGAAGGTAAAACAGTCAGGATTTTTGGGGTCCTTGTACAGTGTCGGGTCACATGAGGAGGCTTTAGTCGTTAATTGTTTTATCATTGTTCACCTCCCACCTGATTACTACCGGCTGTCTGGCACCCAACTGTCCGTCCGTCCGTGGATCCGTCCGTCCGTGTATCCGTCTGGCCGTGTATCCGCCTGTCCGTATATCCGCCTGTACGTGCATCCGCCCGTTCGAGTGTTTGTTCTGCAATTCGCGTCCAGTACACCAATAAGGCGATGCATTATGTTTATACTGAATAAATAAGGTCACGGACAAGGCCACGGTCACGTACAAGGCCACGGTCACGTACAATGCCACGGTCACGGACAAGGTCACGGTCACGGACAAGGCCACGGTCACGGACAAGGCCACGGTCACGGATACAAGGCCACGGTCACGGACAAGGCCACGGTCACGGACAAGGCCACGGTTACGTACAAGCCATACGCGTACAAGGCCACGGTCACGGACAAGGCCACGGTCACGGACACAAGGCCACGGTCACGGATAAGGCCACGGTCACGGACAAGGCCACGGTCACGATAAGGCCACGGTCACGGACAAGGCCACGGTATGGCGGCGCCACGGACACGAGGCGGCCACGGCTACGGCATAGGGCCACGGTCACGGACAAGGCCAGCTACGTCACGACACAAGGCCACGATCACGGACAAGGCCACGGTCACGGACAACACGGTCACGGACAAGGCCACGGTCACGGACAAGGCCACGGCTACGGACAAGGCCACGGCTGGCAAGGCGCTATGGCGGCAATGCTACGGGTCGCGGCGGTAACATAGGACAGGCCGGTCACGTACAAGGCCACGGTCACGTATAAGGCCACGGTCACGGACAAGGCCACGGTCACGGCCACGGTCACGGACAAGGCCACGGTCACGGATAAGGCCACTACGGACAAGGCCACGGTCACGGACAAGGCCACGGTCACGAACAAGGCTTCACGGATAAGGCCACGTCACGGACAAGGCCACGGTCACGGACAAGGCCACGGTCACGGAACAAGCCACGTCAAGCATACACACGGTCACGGACAAGGGTCACTCGCCGTCTTCATATTATAATACACCGCCAGCTTCCCCACCTTCCTCTTCCCCCCCCAAAACCCATCCACTTCTTCTTGACAATCTATCAAAATTGTTCTTTTAGGAGGAGCAAGAAATGAATGACCACTGTGTTAAAAGAACCATTGACCAGCACGAGTCTTTATGTTTTCTACAATAGTGAATTTTTCTCGTTAATATAAACATCCATTATTAATGTATATTTTACGTAATATATAACTAACTATTTTATGTATTCATCATTTATTATTTATTTTTACTACATTAGCTACAGAGTGAAAATAAAATGGTTTAAAAAAAATCATAAAACAAAATTTGGGTTATAATCATATAGCTTAGCTGAGTAAATTAATATATTCAGGATATTTTTAGTGTGTGTGTGTGTGTGTATTTCGACTTTAATATTATTGTATGGTCTCTCTCTCTCTCTTCTCTCCTCTCTTCACCTCCTCTCCGTGACTTCACCCTACATCCACCACGACGCATATCAAGGTACTAACTCTTCCTCTGCTTCTCGTGTACAACATCTAAGTCTCCTATCTCTCTCTGTTACAATGTCAGTGTCTATTCCTCGCCTCTTCTTTACCCTTCCTTCTGTCTTTTCTTCATTTTATTTTCTTTTTATTCTTACCGTCCAGCAACCCGTTTTTAGTTTCCTGTTGTTGTTTTTGTTTTACTTGTTATTTCATTCGTAGTGATTATTTCTGTTTCTTTTCCTCTCTATGTTATTTATGTTCCTTTTATCCTCCTCTCTTCCTTCCTGTCTCCCTATTCGCTTCCTCTTTATTTGTACCTCATATATCGCCCGTCTCTCTCTTCTCGTTTTTTTCACCGCAAATTTCTCCTTAATTACCTACCACTTTACGTTATCCTCCTCCTCCACTCATACCCTCCCTCCCACATAACCTTCCTCCTCCCACTATACTCTCTCTCTGCCCTACATGCCTGCCTTTCCTTCCTGTTCCACACTTTCACCCACATCCCACCCCCAGCCCCCTTCCATCTCCACACCTTCCTTAGTTCCTTTCATCTCCATCTATCTTCCTCCCTCCTCCCCCTCCCCACTACACTCTTTTACCCCCTCCCTACCCACACCATCCCCACCACATCCTCTTCCCTCTCCCTAAACACACTCCATCCACACCCTTCTAAGCACACCTTAAATTCTAAATGGACGCACACCTATATAGGTTTTAGACCTTTATGTGTGACTCGATTTTCTCCTCTTTTGCCTTTTCCTCTCTTATCACCTCCCCATCCTTCCTTCCTCCACCCTCTTTCTTCCTCCACCCCCTCCGAAAAAGCAAAACAAAACAAACAAAACTAATGACAACTTGCCGTTGTTGATAATCGGGACGGTGTTGTATAAGTCGTCTCAGAGGGGGAGGGGGAGGGGGAGGGGAGGGGGAGAAACCTAACCCAACAGTCTCGTTTAATATCCTGTGATGGTTTGTCTTTGAGGTTAATTAAACCGTATTATATATAAGCGTGTTTTGTTGTCGTTGGAATATTTCATTATGTGTGTGTGTGTGTGTGTGTGTGTGTGTGTGTGTTTTTGTAGGGGTTAGGGGGAGGGAGGCTTGGGGGGGTGTGGAAGGGGGTAGGGGGTTCGGGGGGTGGTGGGAGGAGGAGAGGGGAGAGAGTGAGGAGTAGTAGGTAAGAGAAGAGAATGAACGGAGATAAATCTTATATTTCTTCCTACTGAAGGTGAAGAGTTGAGAGAATAGAAGAGGGTGACATCTTTTTTTAACTTTATTTATTTATTTATTTTTTTTACTCCAAGTTTAATTTATTCAAGCGTGTGTTCAGGTTATTTATTTATTTTTTTATTTATATATTTATTTATTTATTAACAGTTGTATCTTGCCTGTGGTGAGATTGTCGTGAGCGTTGATGATGACTGTGTGTATAATGTAGTTCCTCTGCGGATTGGTTTATTACTCTCTCTCTCTCTCTCTCTCTCTCTCTCTCTCTCTCTCTCTCTCTCTCTCTCTCAACCACTCACTTCTTCCCGCATCTCTCATTTAAACCCCCTCTCTTTCCCATTCTCCGACTCACTCTCATTTCCACCCTCTAACCACCTCCCTCCCACCCACAGTCCACCATGAAGGGCAGATCACTTGTGGTTGTCGTCCACCGAAGACTCAACCATTTCCCAAGTTCCGTGTGGCAGCTGTGGCTTAGCGCTGCCTTGTCCCCGTCGCCACCAATCTAATCTGGCCTTAATGTTGATGTTATTGTTGTGAGGGAGATTGTACAATTCAGAGACTCAATGAGGGCCGCGAGTGACCCCGTAATGACGTCAGTTGTTGTGTTTGGCTGCTTCGTTATGGATGTGTTTGTCTTCTTGTTTACGTGGCTGGTGTGTGTGTGTGTGTGTGTGTGTGTGTGTGTGTGTGTGTGTGTGTGTGTGTGTGTGTGTGTGTGTACATATTACCTATTTCATGATGTGCCTTTGCCTATGCTGTGGTATTTCCCATAATATTCCTGGGTATTTGCCTTAATATTTATGTATGAACATTTTATAGGACCTGAAATATTAGTGAATAAGTAAACTCTTTATATACATAGATGTACAATATGAGATGCAGATGGACAGCATTACACACCTCGGCCTCCCTTACTGCGTTCGTAGAGTCAACACTTAGATATGTAAATTACGAGAGGTGTCAGAAAGTAAATATTCATATCTCATTTACATATGTATGTATATATATAAAAATTCTACTTTCGATGGTCCAAAGAGGCAGAAAGGTGCAAATGGTCGGGTCTGGTGAGGAATAATGAAAAGGTATAACCATATTGTAGGACCAGAGCAACACACTAGACTGAAATATGAGGGACACTGGCCAGCAAGGTGTTCAGCCAGGAGTTTTAAGGACTCTTTACCCCTACAGTACAAACTGGTGAAAGACGTCCTAGTTCATGCCCAGCGGAGACGTCCAACCCTCAGGTCATGATAGCACGTGGGTGATCATGAGAGAGACATGGGCACTAATAGGCTGCCAGTAACTACACACAGCACCATAGCTTGTGTCAACGAAACAAAACTTCTAGAAGGAGAAGATGAACACGAAGTAGACATAATGACTCAGGAAATGGAGAGGGAAAAAATGTGATTGAACATAAGTCATATTTTCTACCGTCACAGGAATGAAAACAGACATGAGGTAGGCGAGTGTTTCCTTATTGATCAAAGACTCGAGAAAAAACCCATAATATACAAAGATTCTCAAGCCGCAGCCAGGAATGTGTTGACCTCCATCTGGCGTAACATGATCCTTGAGACATCAGGCTCAGTTTAGAACCAACCTGAGGAATAAATCGAGTTACGAGATACGAACAAAGATACGTATTTTTTTCCTAAGTTACGAGGAATTGGCGGGAGTAACAAAATAAGTAAATTAAGAGAGAAAGTAATAAATTAGAGTAAATAATTCTCCTATGTTGTGTTTAGTGTTTACTTTCACCAGGTTCAAGTCGAGGGGCAGAATAGCGATTGGTCGAGTGAGAGAGGAAGTAAATAACAGAGGAGGAGGAGGAGGAGGTGGTGAAGCATAAAAGAGAGAGGAGGGAAGGATTGGGGGGTGAAGAAGGAGGAGGAGGGAGGAGGAGGTATCTGAGAGGTGGGAAAGGCGGTGAAGAGGCTAAGAAAAGAGGAGGGAGGTGGGTGAAGCATAAAAGGAGGAAGAGTTGGGGGTGAAAAGAAGAAGGAGGAGGGAGGATTGGGGGGGGTGGGAGATGAAGAGAAGTAGTAAAGTAAAGGTCTGATGAGGTGGGTGAGGACAGTGCGTGGTGGCGTAAGATGGCCATTGTTCAAGTCACACCACAGAGCCGTCTATTGTACAGTTCTTTGTTTACTTAAGAGAAGGTGTAGCTTATAACCAACGACTCTAGAGGAGGTTTTAGTTAGTTTAGGTTAGGTTAGGTTAGATTGGTTGTTAGGTCAAGTTAGGTTAGGTTGGTTGTTAGGTTAGGTTAGGTGTTTGGTTAGGTTAGGTTAGATTTCATTAAGTTAGGTTAGATTAAGTTATATAGTTTAAATTGTGTAAGTTAGGTTAGATTAGGTTAGGTTAGCCCTCCCACACACGAGTCCTAGACAGCTTTTAATCACATTCCTGGTCCATCGGTGTTGTCAATATATCAGAACCTTTTTAACTTCCAACAAATCAATGTAAACAATTTTCACCTCTGGGTCCCTGGAAGGTGGTTAAAAGACATCTAGGATCCGTGTGTGGGAGAGCTTACCTAACCTAACCTAACCTAACCTAACCTAACCTAACCTAACCTAACCTGACCTGACCTGACCTAACCCATCTCCCGGGAAACTGATATGAAGTTTCTGTACACTTACACTTACGTACGTGTGTGTGTGTGTGTGTGTGTGTGTGTGTGTGTGTGTGTGTGTGTGTGTGTGTGTGTGTGTTGTTACATTTGAAAGCTTCAGTGCCTCGTTTCCTTTAGCAGTGTCTTGTGAGTCCAGAAGAACAAGGTTATTAAAAGATTTGCTCACATTACTAGAATCCTGAGTGGTTTTTCTGAAGTAGGGCAGGTAGGAAGAGGAAGGGCTTTAGTTAGAGGGGGGGGGGTGGGGAGAGATATGAGGAGTGGTGGGTGATGGGGGGGTGATGGGGGGGGGAGGGGTGGTGGGGGAATGAACGAGTTTTCTGATTAACAAGCGCCATTCACTAGTCCAAATGAGGTGCTCCATTATAGGC